TTTAAAATAAAGATGCTCCGCGTATCTAATCCAGCGTTGATCTTCCTCTGCCTGCGTTGATTGGTGATTTCCTTTGGTTCCAGCGTTGTCTTGAGTCTTGACGTGTTTAATTATTCTGGTCCTTTATCCAATTCCTTGGTTTAGAACTTTATTTCTCGGCTAGTGCTGTTCTGCTAGCCGTCCTTTCTCTCCGCCTGCTCAGAGTGTTCTGGTGGCGTTCCTTTTTTATTCTCATACTCGGCTGCGCGCGCCGCTCATGCGCAGTGGGTTACCCCCACTCCTTCCTTTTCCCCTCCTTCCGTGGAGGACGCTCCGTTTTGGCGGCAACCCCACCAAAAGCCAGTCGCCATCTTGCGTCAGCTCGTTTAAGACGTCCTGCCGGCTCTTCGTCTTCCTAGTGCTGTTTCACTTGAATTTGCCCAACATGCTTCACCGTGTTATTATTAATCACTACACGGGGTTTAATCTAGTAGACCAAGCCGTGCAGAAAGTAAGTATTAGTCCCTGAATCCTCTGTTTCGCCTAGGTTTTGAATAACCGCTCTAGCGTCTCGGGGTACTTAACTCCTGTCTCTTTTGTAGATATGTGGACAGTGCATTCAGGCTACGACTCGTAGCATTTATTGGATTGTGTTCGATCCTTCACACGTTCGCCTGGATGTTTATATCCCTGAGTTTATTCTACTGGAACCCGACTTTTACAAATGCGGGTGCTGCCTTGGGAATTGCTTTGTAAGTTTCTTTCCGCCATTGTCCCTGCTCTTTTTAGCCGATTTATGTATTTTATTCGGCTCATTTCTTTGATTTCTTTATTTAATAGGACCCTGTACCAGAAAATGGTAATCCTCCTGTTCCAAATGGATATGCTATGCGCCAGGTCCCACCCCCGGGTGTGCACTATCCCTTTGAGTTCGATCTGGGGTTGGTGGATTTTCTACTGAATGATCGTGATCTCGCCGAAGTTCTTCAAGATGTGGAGCACGGGCCTGAGGTTGAGTTGGTTGACCTTGTGAGTGACTCCGAGGACGACGAGGACGTTGTCGTTCTAAGTAAGTTTTGCCGCCTATTTTGTCTTTGTGTCGCCTCCTCACTGCTTAATCATGTTGCTAGCCGTTTTTATGCATTACCATAATGCGTTTGAGGGCGATGAGGCCGTTTTTGTGTGTGGACCGTGTGCTCCTTTTTCTCAACCTGAGTTTGTCTTAACTGGCTCTCATCTTTACAAGATTCAAAAATGCTCCTTTGAGGAGCTTTTCAATCCCCACAGCCCTTATCTTTGCGCGCGTTGCCTGCGCTGGGTTTTCGTGCGTGTCTTTTGTCTCCCGCTCTTGGCTGTTGTTGTTTTTGTTATTGTTGTTTTCAATGTTTTGCTTTTCCTTTTTGTGCAGACTGAGATTTTCCGCTTCCAAGGCGCTCTCCCCGCCCCTGCCTTCGTCGTGGAAGAGTGAGGTTAGTGTGCCTTTATATTCTCTAGATTTTTGCTCTCATTCTTGCTTTCCATTTGGATTTGGTTACAACTTCCTCTTTTTCTTTCCTTTACAGATGTGATATTTGCTGTTTTTGGATCCTTAAGGTCCTTTTCTCATTGTTTTTATTTGGCTTGCTTTGCAATTGCCCTTAGTTTATTTATTTACTTAGTTTTCAATTTGCCTCACTAGTATGAATTGATCTAGCTTATGCTCTCACTATCGACTGATCTGTGTTTTAATTTATAAGTTTGTTCTTCTAGTACTACTTAGTTTTCAATTTGCCTCACTAGTATGAATTGATCTAGCTTATGCTCTCACTATCGACTGATCTGTGTTTTAATTTATAAGTTTGTTCTTCATGCGTCTATTTCATTCTGTAGCCTGTGGCTCCTCTCAATTTGTTTTTTTGTTTTTTTTTTTTTTGCGTTTGACGCTCGACTAATTGACTGACGTTCTTCATTCATCCATTCCTGTGTTTATTTGACGCTCAACTAATTGACTAGTCTGTCTCTCGTTAAAGTGTATTGCCCCTCTATGGACTGCGTCCTTTGTTTTGTTTATTCTGTAATAAACTCACGTGCATGACTTTGGTGTTTGAATTGACACTCCTTTATCTTTTTCATTGTTTTTATTGTAAACTTGAGCATGAACACTTTAACATTTTACAGCACTATGCTTGGCACAGCAACACAGTTTATCACAAGTAAAGTAATGATTTGATTAACGTTTGGTACAATGAACACATTCTGATTAATATTTGAGCGCAACATAGAACAATTTTATCACACTTTAAAAACAGGAACAGTTACTGGATTGATCACACTTGATGGCACTTGTACAGTTGGATATTATTTTTGTGTGCATTCACTTGCCTTATGGAATCGTTGTTTGCACTTCCTGCACTTCATCTTTTTCCTGGGATCTTGGGGGTGGAACTTCCACTCACCCTTCTCAGTCTCTCGCTGTTTGAGGAGGTCGTCTATCCATTGCTGCCTGCCCGTAGGTTTACTTTCTAAGGTAAGTGGTATTAGTTTCCATGGCATGTCTAGCATAAGACCTCCACATACAATTTCTGTGCTCTTGTTTCCTCTGGCTGTCTTCAACTTGTCTTCTATTTCTTGGATAGCTGCCTTCTCCTCCTCCATCTTTCTGTCTATTTCCTCCAATTCTGCTATCATCTCTTCTTGGATCTCACTCTCTTCCATTTCTATGTCAACTCTGTTAATTTCTGCTTCCAACCTGTCGACTTCTATCTCCATTTCTGTTTCTTCTTGTTTCTCCGTTTCCACCACTCTCTTCTTTATTTCCGCCTCCAGCATCTCAACCTCCATGTCTTTCTCACTTTTCTTTTCTTCCACTTTTTCCTCTGCTTCTGACGCAGAATCTGTTAATTTCATGTCTTCAATCAGCTTCTTTGCTATTTCACTTGCACTTTCTTCTTTTTCATTCTCACTTTCACTGTCACTAGACAAAAATTCTCTTGTCACTAGTGGTGGTAACTCTTGAGCTGCAAAGTGCTGTCTTCTCTCTGGGGGTAAGAAGTCCAGGTCTTTCTCTCTTTCTTGCCTGATTCTGGATGTGCTGGGTAGTCCCATGTAGTCTACTGCTGTCATAGGG